CTATGCATACATGGCCGTCAAGGGAGCCATGGCCTGCCCTTTTTTTTTTTGCGAGGACCTTTTGTTTTAGAATTATGGATTTTATTTTAGAAATTGAGGGGTCGACCCCCTCCACTTTGAAGGCAGTGTCAATGCCATTGGCATCAGCCAATTAAAATCACGCTTAAAGTAGCAAATCACTATTTTGGCCTTTAAAATGAAAACTGTACATATAACGATAAAATAATTATAACAAAAATTGTTGGTATTACATAGTAGAACACTCATGTAACCGTTATTTTAAAAATAGTGACCGAATTTTAAAGTAATCGGTAACGCTTTGAGGTTTAAGTAGCAAAAAACTGACAAAACTTCAACTAAAACTGCAATAAATCCTACACCAGTCATCTAATCAGGCTGAAATTTGGTTCAGAGTTTGGTGTGACTATTGGCTACATTTGCACCAATTTTTATCAAATTATATTGAGTGGTTCAAGTTCTACAAGTGTTTTTTATTGGCACACTAAGTCAAAATTTGACTTAATTTGAACATTCAAATTAAATTATTTTCCGCGGACAAAATTAAATGATTTCAAAATTTGCATCACAGGGTACCTTGATGTGTACGCTAACTTTCCGTATAACTGGCGTTCTTGGGACAGCTAGGTAGGCATTATAAGGATCCATGCTAACCGTGTTTAGTAGTCTAAATATATTTTTGTGACGTCAATTATGAAATTTGAAGTATAATAATGTTTAAAAACTTTAAAATAGTTTCAAATGTTGCCAATGAATGTTGGAGAATGTTGCAAGTTAAATGAATGTTGGAGTTTCAGGAGGGGGACAAAGGTCTAAAATGGTCAAAAACTGCGTGATGTCGTTTTTAAGATGTCGTTTAAAGTTTGTTATAATTTGTTTTTATTTTTTTGATAAAATCAATCATTATAACAAGTTTAAGTAAGATAAGTTTAAATATAGTTTTGTGACATCAGTAGTGATGTTTAAAACTTAAAAACTATTTTAGTTTTAAATTAAATAATTGTCGAGTTTTATTTAGAAATTTAGCCTATTAGTTAATGAACAGTGCTATATAGAATTAAAATTAAAAAGTTAATATTATGTGGCAACATATTCACCGTTGCTTGGAATTCAATATATATATATATATATATATATATTTTATATAATATATATATATATATATATATATATATACTTTATATAAACATATAAAGGAAAAAGAAGCCAAGCAAAACAACAATATTCAAAAAATGAATCTATTTTTTATATTAAAATACTCCTAAGAAAATATTAAATAGTACTAATTTTTTAAAAACACCCTCAACACCCTCGTTCGGGACGGCCCTGCTGATGATGATACATTGAATCATAATCATATTGCAGAAACTCACTAGTTTTTTTTATCTGTGCTGTACAGTATAAAAACAGCAAACATTTTTACGATATATCTTAGCAAACAGATTTCAAGCACATATCAAAAACTTTCTGCTGAAGTACATTCAAAAGACAATCAGTGTTTGTGAACGTTGCTGTTGATGAAATGGAGCTAGTATCAAACTAACATGCTAATAGATTTTTAAAAGTAATGAAAAACAAATAAGCACCAACAAAAAACATTGTTACTGGGACAAAAAGGTTCCTTAATAGCAATCAAAGCAATACAATGCTTTGATTGCGAATAAATGATAAAAGTTTACGAAAATTGATAAACAGTATTTACTGAATTAGAGTTAGTTTATAATTATTTTTTTATGTTATGCTTTTTGATACAACTATTAGAAAATTTCTAGAATTGAGTTAAATTAAAGTGTCTATATTAGAATTAGAAGTAAAAAACGGTTACTTTAACAAAATCGTGATTTTTGTTGTCATTACTTCTTCATTTTTTGGAACACTTGCTTATAATTAATCCAGCCAACCTTTAAAAGAGTAATCCACATTTCGATTACAGCTTTCAAAGCTTACAAACTTTATTTCAAAATTTTCCACTTACAACGCAAAGGCACCATTTTATCTTATGCTGGAAAAATTATATTACTGAGAATGTATCACGATTTTGAACAACTTTTTGGCTTCGTTCTCACTTCAGCTAATCTGTTATACGTCCTTTGATTATACATTACTTAACAGTTTTTAAATTTATCGTAATTCTTTTTTTACTTTCCCATTTTTTATTTTTTACAATTTTCTGGCGACAAATCTTTGAGATATTTCAGATACCAATTTTATTTTTTGGACAAAACATTTGCAACCAACATCGAACAATGCTAAAAAGTGTTCCTAATTTTACATGTCTTAAAAACAAAACGAGCTACACTACCACAGCAAACAGTTCAGGAGTCATAGCATGCCATGACATGAGCAATCAGCTAACAGGTGACAGCATACAGGCAGAATTTCGTTGACAAGTGCCATTTTGCAGCGGACAAAACAAATGAAACTTTTTTGGTTTGTTTTATTTTCTTAAGTCTGGTCCGTGTCAACGTCACGGAAGTTTTTTAGTAATTAAAGGAAGTATCCAGAAGTTTCTAGAAGCATGCAGAAGCTTCCAGAAGTTTCCAGAAGAAGCATGCAGAAGCTTCTAGAAGTTTCCAGAAGAAGCATCTGGAAGCATCCAGAAGTATCCAGAAACATTCAGAAGCATCCAGACGCATTTAGAAGTTTCCAGAAGCATCAAAAAGAAGCAACAAGAATCTTCCAGAACAGGTTCACACACGTTCATTTTACTATATAAGAGACATGTAAATCGACATGTAATTCAATCAGTATATGGAAGTCATTCAGTCAGTATTATCAAGACAGTTTATCGAAGTGAGTTTTATCAAAGTGTTTTATCAAAGAACATCAATACAAGAAGTGAAATACAACAAGTCTTTCATTACATCAATACAATCCACATCCAACCAAGACGTTGTGTTCCACAGAGCATTATTATATCATCACAAGGTAAATGTAAGTCTTGAGAAGCGTGATTATTTATTTTTATTATTTTTATGACTTCAAGTGCAAAAATGGCTCCCGACAGCCTTGGATTGGAACTAAGAAAGAAAAATATCGGCGATTACGTAAGTGGAATGTCACAAAAAAGTATTTTTGATAACTATCGCGTGAAAAAATGGACCATATCAAGACTATGTTCCAAATATCGTTCTACGGGGAAGTTGGCAGCAAATAACAAAGGTGGAAGACCGCATTCCACCACTTCTAGAGATGATTTTATGATCCAGATCCGTCAAGAAGAATCACTGGATATCATCAGTCGAGATAAAAAAGCAATTAGAGCTGCCTGTATCAGACCGAACTATCAGACGACGTGCTGTTGAAGCCGGATTGTTTTCTCGACGCCCTTCAAAGAAACCGCTGATTTCACTAAAGAACTAGACTCTTGTTTGCTACATCTCATATTAACTGGAATGTGAAGAAATGGTGAACTTTCCTATTCAGTGATGAATCAAATTTCAACATTATTGGGAGCGATGGCATTTGCCGTGAACGTCGACCGGCCGGAAAACGCGTTTCTGCCATAAGACCGTGAAACATGGTGGAGTTAATGTAATGGTCTGGGGGTGTTTTTTTGCTAACGGTCTAGGTCCAATACACCGAATCAATAAAATATTGGACCGTTTCATGTATACAATCCACATCCAACCAAGACGTTGTGTTCCACAGAGCATTATTATATCATCACAAGGTAAATGTAAGCCTTGAGAAGCGTGATTATTTATTTTTATTATTTTTATGACTTCAAGTGCAAAAATGGCTCCCGACAGCCTTGGATTGGAATGTATAAAAATATCCTGAAAGATGTTATGTTACCTCATGCTGCCAATAAAATGGGTTTTTGAGCGAGACAACGATCCGAAACACACTGCAAAAGAAGTCAAGCAGTGGTTTCAAGACAACCACCTAACGATGATAGATTAGCCGCCTCAATCTCCGAATCTCAATTCTATCGAGAACCTGTGGGAGACCGTCGACTGCAGAATGAATCGTGAAGGTGTTCGTAATAAGGATCAACTGTTTGAACAAATCCAAAAGGCCTGGACAGCGATTCCACAAATTTTCATTGATTATCTGATCGAATCTATGCTTCGAAGATGCAAGGTTGTGATTGACAACAAACAACTTTTTTTAATACTTTTAATTTATTAATTTTCGTGTACGAATAATGAACTTTGTGATGAATAAAACTTGAAGAATGTTGTCTTTAAACAGTTACATTGTTATTTCTCTAAATTGAAAAAATGCAGCACTCACAAGGAACTAAGTTATCATTATTTGGTTGCACTTGTTTTGTCCGACACTGTATATTTTTTACCAAAATGTGACATTTATATATGTCACATTTTGGTTAATGATTGAACGCTGTAAGAAACTATTCCAATATGAAGTTTGTGTTTAAATAGCTACACTAAAAACAATAATATTTGTAAACTTTGAAACATTATGGTTTTTATTGACAAAATATGGCAAAACTGTTTTTGGCCATGCCCAAACCCATAAGTCCTCCACACCAGATTTTTAAAAAAATTATTTAATTTAGAGGCTCCTTTAACAATTTAAGGATTTTTTTATTTTTTTTGGCTTTGGTATAAACAACTTTTCATTTAAATGTTTTAGTCTTTTACCCAATCTGCAACGATATACCGGTCCGGCAATGGCCCAGCGCAGGCTGCGGAGCTGGCCCGTATCTGGCTGGCCAGCACTGGGCCAGCGCCGATTTGCTCACTGGCTTTGTCACGATCCGGCACTGGCTTGCCAGTGCAGGCGCAGTGCTGGTGTTTCAGTGGTCCGCCATTGGCAAGCCAGTGATGGCTTATCAGCGGTCCGCAAATGGCATACCCGAACTGGTCTAACGCAGGTCCCCAAATGGCTCACCGGAGTGGGATTAACGGTCCATCAAAAAAGCTTTAATAAATATCTAAGGAGCTTTAATAAAAAATATTTTAAAATTATTCAACAAACCATTAATACCCTTATAATTTGTAAAATAACATAAAACCAGGTATAAAGAAATATATTCTGTAATTTGAACTAACACATGTACATAATAAAAACATAACCACAACATAAAATACAATATTAATACACGAAAAATATAACTACATTATGAATATGGGAAACAACTTTTAAAACGTTTCTAAAGAAACTATAAGGTAGCAGCATTTAGCATAACTAATTTTTAACATAAATAATTGTTTGAGTCGTCTGAGCAGAAAAGTGGCAAATGATGCAGTAAAACTTCCGCTGAAGTTTTAGGCGCTACTAAAGGTTGTTCTATAACTGCCGATGAAGCTGTAGGCATTAGTGCACGATGTTCAAAGTGAGTTTTTTTTATTGATTGTCGAATGGCTCTTTGTTTTCTACCACCATTACGATCACTAGCCCCTGCTAAATAGTGAACCACGGCCTTCTGCACATCACTTTCTGAAGCACCTTTCGTTGGTGGATTTCTTCGCAATGCTGCTGCAAATGTGCATCATAATATAATACGCAGTTATGCCCTGACTTAGTTCACATTATTATAATAACATTTAATATTACTAAATAAAATATTTTCTATACATTAAGTATTTCTAGTAATTAAAATTTAATATCATAGAATAAGCAATTTTGATGCAGTAAAGAACTGTTTCTGAGGTTCATTTGCTAAATTATAGGTGATATTAACAAAAATTAAGTTTCGCTTACTTTCCAGAACTTGTCGGCATTTCAAGTCACGAAAGGGTTTTTTTAGATTTTCACCAAGTCCTGACCAATTCATTTGTTTTACTACGTCGTTTTCCATTAGAGAGGAAACCATCCTTCTAACGGCTTCCTTCAGGTCCTGACCGCCCTTCGAAGCAACACCATGCACCTAAACATTAAACCGTCGACATTTAATTGATTATTTCATCTGCATTTTGGCAATATCATAAAAATCATAGAAATAAATAAAAACAGTAACTAGGATGAGGCCAGGTTGCATTTGAAAAAAAAGCATTTTTGATTAGCAAATATATATCTTGCTCAATTTTTATGCTAAAATTTGCTTGAATTAGAGAATTTGCTAATAAAAAAAGGGGAGGCGATCGAAACACGAACCTCCAGGGGGTTGGTGTTTCGATCGGTACAAACCTGAAGATGAAGCAAAACTATAAGTAAGATTAAATTTAGTTATAGATTGTAAAGTATTGCTTACTTCAAATAGATCATAAACTCTCGCATGCAAATATTTTTAATACATAAGATGTTTTTAAGATATCAAATTTTTTGGAGAAATTTTTTATTAAGTCAAATTGTACTTACAAGTTTATTAAATAAAAGATTGTCTTTAGTAATTATATCTTCAAGCTGCTGCAGCTGTTTTCGGTCACATACAGGAAGATCAAGAGTTTCAAAAATGTTGCCATCGTCTTTTATCCCACCGTGTGACAAAGTCTGCAACATAGTAGTGTTGTAAGTAGTCTGCTTCTGAAGATTAGCTACTTCGCTTTTCAGCTCAACTAAAAGAGTAAATATTTTATTTAAAACACTGTTTGATGTTTGAACTATATATGTTTGAACTATATAGTTCTCTATATATATTTTTGTGACGAGACTCATTTAACTACCTTATTCTTGGTCTTGATTCATGGTATTGGTATTAATTAAAGCCTGGAGTATTATCCTTGGCCTTGGTCTAGAACATTTACAGTCTTTTACTTTCTTGTTGCTTACTAAAAATATCAACATAATTAATAGATTAGTTAATAAAAACAAATCGTCAAATGCCGTAAATCCTCGTTCTTACGGAAAGTTGTATCAAAAAATACGTTTACTCTTTTTCTTTACGCATATATTTGATTAGATTGTCAAAACTTATAAAATTCCCGCAATTATTAAATTCGATTGTTGTGATTTTCGTGAATACCAGAAAGTAATTATAAAAATATGCTAAAACGCATAATTTGCACATAATCTCATAGAATCTTTCATAGAATCAATAACAGAAACAAGAGAGTTAAGCCTAATCCTGAGTTACATTCTGTTATTATTTGCTGCTTAGAATGCCATTGCGATAATGCGTTTTTATTCTTAATGTGATGTTACCTTATTTTTTTGATAATTTTTTTTTTTTTTTGTATGGTGTATTTTCAAGTTTTTCTTAAGTAATTGCAATTCATAGTAGTTTTTTTTATAGTTTAACTATAATTATAGCAAAAACACTAAAAAACGTGTCAAAAACACACAAAAAATAGAAAAAAACAGATAAAGTTAGAAAAACCTCAAGACAACATTTGTGCAAAAAAATTTGTGCTAGAATTTTGTTTAATTAGTATAAGAAAACTTTGTGTTATAAAAAAATGTTCATAACAACAACTTTCTTTATACTAGTTGAAGAAAACTCTATAACAACTTTTTTAATCATAAATATTTCTTCAAGATTTTCTCTTATTATTTACTTAAAGATTAGTTAAATAACGTAATTGATCTTATACCATCATCATAGTTAAAGATGACGTTATTTCTACTTTAAATATGACATCATCATAGTTAAAGATGACTTAAATAACGTCATTGATCAAAATTAAGTAAGAATAAAACAAGGGTGTGTTGTAACTGATAACGCCTTGAATATATAAAAAAAACTTTTAATGTGCTACGTGAGTTGCAGGCAAATAAGAGTGAATGAAAATCTGGACAAATCAGAAAAATCTGGGCTGGCGTGCTATGCATATTCATTGCAGCTTTGTCTTAAAGACAGACTAAGTTATTTGAAAATAGCTAACAGTTTATTAGACAAATCCTTGAAGCTAAAAATTGAGTGAACATTAGAAATTCTTAAGCTTTTTGCAGAGGCCACAAATTTTGTTTTGTCTTTAATTGTTGGCCTGTATAAGATTTTAATACGCTTGCCTTAACTGTCAAGAATCACACTTTATTAGTTGCCGATTTGTTAAGCTCTAACCGTGACAGATTCGGTGACTTGTTGCAGAATATCATGACTTTGCCAACTAGTGATAAAATCAATAAAAAATAAAAAGTTTTAATCTTTTACCTTATGACTTCAGCCTTAGATTCTAACTATTAATTATTTTCGGTGAAGACCATATTAGACCAGATGATGTTAATAAATTTGTTTGCCAACACATTGCTGGTATGTAAAAAAATCAAAGTTTTTGTTTTTATTATTTTGTTTTAGCAATGGTTTTTGTATATTAGTATAATTACATTCTTGTCAATCCGTCATGCTTTGTCAGTTTAAATTAGATTTTACTTATTTTTATACCTTACATTGACAATATTGATTTTTCAGTTCTCATACCATTATAGGTTTCTCTCATTAAAGCCAAAATTTTCACTCAAATTTTATTGGCACCTATAACACAAGTAATTAGGAGGAGAATCATGAACAGAAAGAATGAACAAAACTGTGATGACACTGGTAGTCACGTCACTAAGCAAGCGTAAATCAACACTTTTTCATATGCAAAACATCATTCGAGACCTGAACAGTGATAACAGAAAGTTGTTCCATTGTCACTAACCACTATTCCTAATGCTTTTGTGAATAAAATGGTTTCAATTGCATTGATTACATATAGAAAAGAGGCATAGTTGAAAGTCGAACTTGCTGGTTACTACAACATTATGAATCCTCCGCTGGAGAAGCTATTCTGTATTTTAGCTTTTTCAATTATGCAACCATATCATGCCAGACTAGGTGATAAGATGCTGTCGTCTCTTATATATATGAAATGTAAAAGTGATACGTTGAACGTGGTTCCTGAAAATGTATAGTTTGTTTCTACTAGGATTAATTAGCATTGTTATATAAGTTGTAAAATCAAGTGATTTTACAACTTATATAACAACACTTATATTACCTATATAAGTGAATTTTCTATTTTACTTCATACATAAAGTACTTAAATTTGAATTTGATTTTATTTAGAATCAATAAATTTACAATCAAGAATAATTTAATTTTTTTCACAAAATTTAATACTACTGTAAATTAGTCAATTATTAATTATAAAGTATATTGACGAAGAGATGTAACACCAGGCATCTCTATATTATCTAATGTGTAGGACAAATTGTCAACGAGACAAGTTGTCCATCATGATAGGAAACTTTTGAATAAGTTGACCGTGTAAGTGTTAATTGCTTCTTGTGGTAGCATATTCCAGGACGGTGTGACACGATTAGTAAAAAAGTGATTTCGCTCTTCGCAGTTGTTAACAATTTGTCTGTGTAGCTGCTTATTATGATTTCTCCTGCTATATGCGTTGTTGGCGAATCTTTGAGGAACAAAAAAATTAACATCATCAATTTCATTCACAATTTTAAACTGTTCAATAAGATCTCCTCTGGCTCTTCTCTTTTCCAGTGTTGTCAATCTAAATATATTTAAGCGTTACTCATATGGAAGATGTTTGATAGAGGAAACTTTTGTTGTTCTGCGCTGAACTTTTTCAAACATGTTAATATCTTTTTTAAAGTGAGGAGACTATGCTAGAATAGCGAATTTGAGGGACACCGCTTGTGACATTATTTCAATCTGATTTGAATATTTCAGCAGTTGAATGAGTATCAATGACAATACGCTGTTGTCTATTTTTGAGCCGAGCATTTATCCACATGAATGTTTTCTCGTTGATGCCATATGCTTTCAATTTGCTCAATAGACGATTGTGTGGGAAATAGTATATGTAAAACTTACTTTGAATTTTTTTTTTTTTTTGTAACTTATGTGGCTGCTGTCCTAGCATATCCTCTATATGTGTGCTATTCTTAGTCATTTTCATTGGCAACTTTTGTTGTTAGCAGTTTAAAAAAAAACCTGCTAGTTTTCTGTTGTTATTATACATCTTTTGATGACTGCAACAGAGCACTACACTATATGCAACAACATAATTATATTAAACATGCGTTAGTAAGTTTTATTATAGAGTAATGTGTATAAAAGGTAAAGTAATGCATCAACTAAAGACCAGTTAGAATACATGCATGTGTAAACATGAGTCGTACTGTGTTGGTCTTCTAGAACTACTTTATGTCTTGACTCTTCTAAGAATTTAAGTCTTGTAAATAATTTCAAATTCTTGGTTTTGGTCTTGGTTTAATTTTTTTATGTCTTTGTCTTGGTCTAGAAGCATTAATCCAGCTAACACAAAATGTTCAAGTACGTTCGACGAACGTTGCGAACGTTCTCAACATTCGTTGAACGTTTTGTGTTGGCTGGGTAAATCGAGATCCTAGCCTTGGTCTTGTCCCTTACTATTTTTACTGTATCTCTGCTTTCTCCTTTGTACAAAGTATTTGCTAGTTTTTCTGCAGTACTATCATGTTTGCTCAAAAAGTTCGTTTTTTCTGCAGTACCATCTTTGTTATTCATTTGATAGTTTATATGCAATATCATTTTTTGAGTTTTTTAAATAATTTTTTCAGCAAATTGGTTTATGAGTATAATAATTGTTTACAAATTTTTTATCTTTACTATATGTTTGGAGAAAACATCATTATTACATTACCATAACTTTGGAGAATACATCATTACTACATCGTCATAACTTTGACAAATATTTAACTTATTAACTTATCTGCCAACTTGCTTAACCGTCATAACTTATGTGCCTAATGGTTTACCATTGTTATTTCAAAATTGCCACCAAAAGCAGACGTGGTGTAATGGTTACAGTTCTGACTACAGAGCTGGAGGTCAAATTTCATAGTATTATAAATTAATTTTATTATATTGTAATTATTGGCCCATAATTAATAAAGGACTTATCCATGAGAAAGTCCTTAATATTGCAGACTATTGTAATCCACCTAAATGTTTTTATTTGCGTCTAATTTTTTAACAAGAGCTTAGGATGAAAATTTAAAAAAAAATTAGGTTTTTATTCATTACAAAAAAAGTCAACATGAGGATGTGTATATAACACTTTATATCAATGGTGTCTATCATTTTATAAATATTTTTGCATCAAAGGATTAATCTCACGATGTAGATAATTAATGCAATTAAAAAAAAAAAAAAAAAAAAAAAAGAATATTAACGAGCGTTTTTTGTGAACATTAACTTTAGTTCAAAGAAGCTCCTGCAAAATGCAATTTTGAACGATGACTATTTTTATATTTAACTCTATAAATAAATTACTTTTATTTAATTATTTACTTGAAAAATAAAACGTAAAAAGTAAAAAGGTTATTGCTAAATTTAGCAATAACCTTTTTACTTTTTATGTTGTATTGGCCAAGTAAATAATTTAGGCTTTTTAAAACATAAAAGTAATTTATTTGAAGAGTTAAATATAAAAATAGTCATCTTTATAAAGATAAAGAAAAAAAATTATGAAGCTTAAAACAATGCTCTTATTCTTGTTGGACCCAGGCTACTCTACTATAGTAGGACCCAGGCTATTCTACTATAGTAGAATAATTGAAAATACAAGAATATATTCTTAAATTATACAATTTTTATTATACAATGAAGAATATATTCTTAAATTATAAAACTTAATTACTATTATTAGTAGTTAAGTTGTATAATTTATATTTAGTATTATGATTAGACCAACAATTATTAAATTAATTTAAAAAATTATTTAATCAAAATTAAATTAAAAATAAATTTAAAAAAAAATTAAAAAAAATAGCGATACTTTAAAGAACTTGATTAAGAATAATTAATAAAATTACTTTTAAAACCAAAAAAAAAAAAAAAAAAGAAAAAAAAAAAAAAAGATGCAATAACAAAATAATGTTAATTAATGTTTACGCAGATTGGTTTATCGCAAAAGCAGCCTGATATTTCTTCGCGAATGTTTTTTACAACTTGATTATCTTCACAACGTATACTATATTCAGGACAAAATGAAGAACAATTCCACGAGCCATCGTTGTTGCAAATACAATTGCGACATTTGGAAGTGAATTTTCCAACTGAATAAATAACGCCATCGACGTTACACTCTAAAATTCAAATAAACTCAAACTTAAATTGTACAAATCAAAAGCAAAAAATAACAAAGTATACGAGGCGCAATATGTCGAAATAAGTGGGAGGCTAATTAAAAATTTAAAATATTAAAAATATCATCAATTATTCATCAACTTTTTTTTTTTAAGTTGTAATTTTTTTTTCCATCGATAACTCTTTTTCTTTTTAATAAAAGCTCACACTACTTTAAACGTTATTTGTTTCATAACGTTGGTTTTACCTTTTTTTTGCTCAGTTGCACAGGCAAGTTTGTTACAAAAACATCCACTCGAAATTTCTGTGTTAACACGAGTTATTATTTGTCCTGCGGAGCAAGTAATAGATTCAACTGGACATTGGGGGTCACAATTCCACGAACCATCTTTGTTACAATTGCATTTACGACATTTGTTCATAAATGGCCCAATAGGATACTTTTCTTCGCCAACTTGACACACTATGAAACATAATAAACCTTTAAATACTTAAAATACATCCGGTAGTCTCCTTTTTTTTTAGATGTCTGCTAGAATTTATACTACTTCCTTTTAGTGTTAAGCATTAAAGATAAACTCACCTCCATTCGGATCTTTGACGCATATAAGCTTATCACAAAAACAACCTTTTGAAATTTCTGTGCGAATGCGAGTAATTATTTCTCCTGCAGGACAATTGATGGATTCAACTGGACATTGAGGATCACATTGCCACGAGCCATCTCCATTGCAATTGCATTTTCGACATTTATTGATGAAAGATCCAGTGGGATACTTCTCACCACGAACGTCACACGCTATGTCAATAAAGTGAGTATTTAAGCACAGAAAAGCAAACTTAGTTTTAATCTAGGAAAAGTATCAATTTTGAAGTCTGCAAAAAAAAGTCATTCTTAACATTTTATTTTAAACTAGATCATTGTTTTTGACACATTTTGAATTTTTTTATAAGAGCTTTATTAGAATTAAAAAGATACATTATGAAGACAAATTTCAACTTTAAAGTTGGGTTAAATACAGGGCCGTCCCGAAGAGATTTTAAAGGGGGTGACGTGTCTGGTTTTTGTCGACTAATTCCAAAAAAAATATTTTTGTCCCCTGCCTGATCTAAAAAAAAAAAAAAGTCTTCGTTTTCAGACATTTGCCGACTGCCAACTATAAATCCAATTTGCCGACTAATAAAATTTGTAGGGGGACTAAACACCCCTCGACGCCCCCCATCGGGATGGCCCTGATTGAGTAACTTTAAACTTTATGCTAGTTCAAGTTAGAAGTAAAAAGTTAAAAATTACCAGTTTGAAGCTCGAATAGTAAGAAAAGAAAGTAAGTAAAAATTAGCGTAGGATTTTTTGTTTCAGATATGACACTTTCACGCATTATGCCAACTCTAAACTTGCTCCCGACTGGAGCATGGGAACAAAAATATCCTAAAATGTTTATTTACTTTACCACAAATGTGACGATAATGATCATAAAATATATTTTTAGCATACTAAATTTAATTATATTTTTGAAAATATATTTTGATTTAATTTTATATAGATTTAAATATATTTTTAGCATACTAAATTTGAGTTCACCATCAGGTTTTCATTTTTTAGAAAAGTTTCATTTTGAAATCTTTTAACGTTCAAAAGTTATGCCTTCAAATGAATATAAAATTTTGTTAATTTCGGACAATCACTCTTCTCACTTGCATTTTGAAACACTAAACTTAGCAAAGGAGAATGGAATAGTCATGTTGTCTTTCCCACCACACTGCAGCGATAAGCTGCAGCCACTAGATGTATCAGTGTTTGGATCTTTTAAAAAGCACAAGATGCATGGCTGAGAAACAATCCTGGAAAAGCCATAACAATTTATGATATACCAAAAGTTGTATCTGATTCATTGCTATTAGCTATAACGTGTACTAACATTACAAAGGGTTTTCAAAAAACTGGTGTATACCCGTACAATGCAAACATTTTTGGTGATGATGATTTTTTACCATCGTTTGTCACAGATTGTATAGAACCAGCAAATCTTGTTTCTGAGCTATCACACGTAGCTCATTCTGAAGTATGTTTAACATCATCTTCAGGTCAATCTGTCAAAAGTAGGATTAATAAAGAGACAATATTACTTTTTCCTGAAACTCCTAAAGCATTTTATCCAGAAACTGTGCGACCTTACCCAAAAGCAACACCAAGAAAGATACATTTGACAAGAAGAAGAAAAAGGAAAGCTGCTATTCTAACAGATACTCCAGAAAGAATTATATTAAAACAGCAGCAAACTAAGAAACCTAAAAAAGTTGAGAAACAAAAAAAATTATCTACCTGTCAATTCCTTTCAAATATTAATAAAGAGTGTGGTAATAAAGAGACTCAGTTACATAGTATATTTAAGAAACAAACAAACAAAAAAACTGAGAAGAAAGAGATTTTAAAGAAACCAAAAAAAGTTTTGCCAGTCAATCTTTTGCAGATCATGGTAATAATGAGACTCTGCTGCTTAGTATATTAAAAAAAGTTAAAAAACAATCAAACAAAAAAACTAAGATGATAAAAAAATTAAAGACAAGTGCAGAACACGATTATGCTTGTCTTGTATGTTGGGAAACTTATTCTGAGTCTAAACTAAGTCTGCCAGAAGAAAATTGGATCCATTGTCAAGGTTGCAATCAATGGTCTCATTCATAATGTGATTCACATTCTGGTCAAAATTATATTAATATTAACTGCAAAATTGAATGCTAACATAAAGTGTTTAGTTATTATTTTATCATAATATTAACAAGTTTTAAAATGTTTTAAAAAAGTTGTGTTTAGTTTTAAGATTAAAAAGTTTTGTTTTTGTTTTTATTTTAGTATCAAAATTATTAGTTTTGATATTCATATCTTAAATAATTTGTTAAAATTGAAAGTATTTATTTAATTTATGAGGAAGTTTTGTTTTGGTTTTATAACAGTGTTAATAGTTGTCACTGAAATGCATTTATTTTTTTATTGCTTAACTTACCCCACGCAATTGCTCAACTTACCCCGCTGGGGTAGGTTGAGCAGCCTAATAAACTTTAGACAATTTTTTCTAAAACAAATCAAAAAAAGTTTTTTTGTCTCAACCATTTTTTAGCAGATCAAATCATCTTTCTAATAGTGAAAAAAATATATTAATTGGATGTACCGTTCAAGAGATCTGTTAGATTTAGTAAAAATTGCCCAACTAGCCCCGCCCTACCCTACTTTTAATTTATTTTTTTTTAATTTAAAAAAAAAAATTATTTAGTTTAAAAAATAAAATTCATTTTTCAAAAAAGTTGCAATTCTTACTTTATAACGAAAAAAATTTTTCTAATATGATTTTAAAAAACTAAACAAGTTCGTCTTAAGCTAAAACTAAACAAGTTCGTCTTCAAAACCATTTATTTTTATTTTCTCTATTTAAAATTTTTATATTAAGGATGGATCTTTCATTTTTAAAACTCTTTAACTAATTTGGAATTAAAGCAACGTTAAGTAGTAGGACCAGGAACCAAATAAATGAATCTCGGCATCATAGAAGTAATCTAGAGGCATTAAGTATATTTATTGATATATGAAATAATCAAATGTATTTGATTATTTCATATTGTTTATTGATATCAATTTAATACAAAAAAAAAAATTCAAATCTTGCCGTGGCTATTCTATTTATAAATTAGACACCTGTTATAAATTAGACACCTGTTCTATCAATTAAAGTTAACAATTAGAAACTATAAATATTAATTTGTTTAATATTATTTTCTGTTTTCTATTTATCAGAAAAATAATTAGAACTAACTTTTTTTTATGAATTACAAAAATAATCCTTGCCTAAGATACTCAACAAAGTTCAGGAGCAAGTTGCCTGTAGTTAGTCCTCCTTTTCTGAATTCTGTTTTTAACTTGATATGCAGTTATATCTTAACTCGGCATGTATTGAACTGAATCAAGGTCTGACCAATATTATCATCAATATTAACATCTGACCAATAGTAGATTAAATTTTTTACAGTTCACAATTTTTTTTTTCTTTTTGTAGAAACAGAAATTTTCATTTTTTATAAGGATATGCTGCAGTTAAGAGAAAAATCTTTTTTGTTATTGTTTTTTTGTTTTCAAACGGCAGAGTATAGATAGCATTTCAATAGAGAAACAATAATCAATAATGATAAATAATAATAAAGAGTATATACTAATAACAATAATAATTAATAGTAATAAAAATATAGTTACAATAATGATAATGATACATATAACAATAAACATTTATGAATTTCAGTTAGGCAAAATTGAGTGAGATAAAATAAACTCAGAGCCATTGAATTTTGTGGAGTTTTTTTCAGTCCTGCAATTGCTTTAAAACGTAGTTATTCGACTCTGACTGCTTTGTTGTTGCTTCACACAACCTATATCTAGACATCTCTTATACTCCAAGATATTTAACTAATGCATAAGTTCTCGCATAACATTTATAAAATGGTTGACTTCGTTTAAACCATCACACTAGAAAGTTTTTTTAAAATGTGGTGGTAAACGAACCTAGTTTGACATTTTTTATTCTCTTTTTACTATTTATTTTTTTATTATTATTTTTTTACTTTATTAAACTTTAAACAAATTTTTAATAGGGTTTACCTGCATTTGAATCCGCGACACAAGTAAGTTTGTCACAATAACACCCGCTTAAAACCTCTGTACGAACTGTAGTTATTTTTTGACCTGCTGGACAAGTAACCGATTGCTCTGGACATTGAGGATCACATTTCCAAGAGCCATCTCTATTACAAATGCATCTTCGGCACATGTTATAGAAAGTACCCACGGAATATTTTTCTCCACGAACATTACACACTATGAAACGTAAAGTTTATCTAAATATCTGAAGTTTCATTTTCTTAACTGTAAATTTCGAATAAAATAAAATAATAATAATAATATTAACTAGACAAAATATTTTAGGTGTATAATAATTTCCTTTTATAATACGTTATTTTTATATTTGATTTTACTTATGCGTTAAATTTTACCTGCATTTAAATTCGTGACGCAAGTAAGCTTTTCACAATAACACCCGCTTAAAACTTCTGTACGATTACGAATTACTATTTGTCCTGCGGGACATACAATTGATTGCTCTGGACATTGAGGGTCACATTTCCAATAACCATCTTTGTTACAATTGCACTTCCGACACTTGTAGATGAATGGGCCAGCAGGGAACTTCTCACCCCGAACATCACACACTATGAAACATAGTGTTTGTTTAAACCTTTTAAACTTCGTTTTTTAATTTCATTTAAATTTTATGCGTTAAATACATCAACTTTACCTTTGTTTTGATTATTGACACAGGTAAGTTTGTCACAATAACACCCTTTTAAAACTTCTGTACGAACACGAGTTGTTGTTTGTCCTTCGGGGCAAGTAATAGGTTCCTCTGGACATTGAGAGTCACATTTCCAAGAGCCATCTTTGTTACAATTACATTTTCGGCACTTGTTAATAAATTGACCAGTGGGATACTTCTCTCCACGAACATCGCACACTACAATATATATATATATATATATATATATATATATATATATATATATATATATATATATATATATATATATATATATATATATATATATATATATATATATATATATATATTTTTATTTATTTATATTTATGTATATAAAGAGAGAGAAATAGACTCTTATAAACTCTTGGTGAAGAAATACAGATAATAAAATAACTTAGTTAAGTAACACACACACACAAATGTTCCAAATTAAAGAATTAAATGTTTTTATATCGTTTTTTTTTTCTTAATTAAAATTATTTATGCTTTTTTTTTTTTTTTTTTACTAAGCTTAAATTTGTTTGACATTTCTTAAATAAAAATTCATCGAGTCTACAGTTGAACCTGAATTTGAATCTGTGACGCACGTAAGTTTATCACAAAAACATCCACTTAAAACTTCTTTACGAACACGAGTTATTATTTGTCCTGCGGGGCAAGTAATAGATTCCGCTGGACATTGAGGGTCACATTTCCAAGAGCCATCTTTATTACAATTACATTTTCGGCACTTGTTAATAAATTGACCAATGGGATACTTCTCTCCACGAACATCGCACACTATAAAAATAATGTTAATTTAAACAACTAAAAGTCGACTATTATTTTTGCAACTTAGCTTACTTAATTTGTTCAACATAATTATTTTAACTTGTTAAAATAAAAACAAAACTTGTTATACAAACATTCACTAAAATCTTTGTACAACCACAAGTTACTAACTGTTCTGCTTATCAAAATTATGTCAATATTTTTAAAAACAATTGTTGTTCAAACATGTTAATCTTGTATTAAAAGAAACAAGATACATGTTAATATGAACTTGTGTTTTCTTATTAGGCAAAAAAAAGCTAAGGAAAAATATTTAAAAACCTTTAATTTTTGTGGAAAATAGATTTTTATAATTGAAACACGGTATGTATATTTTGCTCATTGGTTACTCAGTGGAACATTAGTGGCAACCGCCAAAAGTGGTTAGCCGATTACTAGCCACTATATCACATGTTGCAAAGTTATCGGTTGGCTACTTATAGTGGGTGCCACTAATGGTATTTTGCAATATTACAAAACAGTTTTTTTTTAAATAAATTTTAAAAGTATTTTCTTAAATTTCTGCTTTATCATGTAAAAAATATCAGAGGCAAAGTTTATTAAAATATTGATTAAATTGATAGAGTCTATTTAATTTATGATCATGAAATTTGCATGCAAATTGCTAACGAGTTGTAATGTTCAGCTCTAGTACTTATTTATAGCAAAACGTTAATCCAAAACAAGCGTTTAACTGTATTAGAAATGGGTAAATATAGTTTAAGAATAGTTAATACATTCAGTAGAACGCTTAATATTAAGTTGAAAAGAGCTTTCTTTTTATCGGCGTTTACTCGCTGATTGGATGCAAAATTATTTTAAAAAAGCTACTGCGCGGGTTTATTTTGATATTTTTCTCAAAGGTAGGGGAGGTGGAAGGTCTTTAAAAAAAAGTTCGTCAATATTTGTATTAATTCTAGTAACAAAAATAATAAAATGAGATATACTTTTAGCAAAACTAACAAAGCGAAAATGACTCAGTGCCAATTCCCTGGGTACGCTTCTTGTACTGAGTGTCAATTTTTGCAATATAACTTTCTTATAAGTATTTCTAAAGCGTACTTTTTTTAAATGTTAATAAGTATTTCTAAAGCGTACTTTATATATATATATATATATATATATATATATATATAAAGATATATATATATAAAGATATATATATATATATATATATATATATATATATATATATATATATATATATATATATATATATATATATATATATATATATATATATATATATATATCGAAACTACTGACCTTGAGAGAAGCTTTCTTTTAAACAGAATACGAGTACCAATGCTTGAATAAACATCCTAATATAAAAAAATTGTTTACAAAAGAAAAGTTTTTATATTTTACAAGTGTTAATTAAAGTATCTTAAGCACTCTTAAATACGTTTAATTATCAAGGTTATATTTAAAATCTTAAAACATTTGATCTGAAAAAAAAATCCGAACACTGTAAATACAGTGAGTTTTATTTTAAGAAAATTTATTTAGCCCATCTGTAATATTTATTTTAAAAATGTAAAAAAATGCTCCTTCGTATATAATTTTTTTTTGGTTTTTCAAAAGGTTCAAGGAGTTTATATAATTTTGGGTCGCAGGTTGCAGTCGGTGTTAAAAATTGTATGTTAAAAAAACTTATTTTTGTAGCATTCAACTTCTGACACTTTTAGATTAATTCAAACTTTAAATAAAGTAAAATTTTATTCTTTATTTATATATAATCGAGAAACACAACCAGTTACACATAATTTGTTTTAAATAAATTTTTATTTATTTATTATTTTTTATTTGTTTAATATTTGTTTTTTGTTTTTAAGTTGAAAGGTTGTGGTGTTATATATAACATAATGTCCTTTCATCTTTCAACCAATCGACATAAGTCGAATGATTGAATAATAATGCTTTTTAATTAATGTTCTTTAATTAATGTTCCGTAACTAATGTTTCTCGAACGGTTTTCTATAAGTGCTTCAATTTGATAACACTGAATTAATGCTTCTCTTTCAAAAAATGTGCTCAAATAAAAAATAAAAGTTTCTTTATATTCACCAGCTTCATCGCGACTCTTCTATTTAAAACAAAATTATAGTTAGACGTTACAAAGTTATCTATTATAACATGTCTTGTCTATTATAACATTCTATTTTTATAACTTTTGTTACTTCTTCAATTATTTCATAATTGTTGCATGATACAAAGTTATATAAAATAACATACCCAGTAAAAGCTATTATGCGGTATGCCTCTTTAGTTATGTCTATCTATACTGATCATATCATTTGTAATCTAAAAAGTCATGTATATCTGTTTATTTATATAGCTGTCAAGTTTGCAGACAGATGTCTAAGTAAACGCAGTTTAAAATGGGTTTGGATTAGATCTAAACAAAATTGACTGAGATTACTGAAGTGTTTATTTTTACTGAGGCATTCTGGCCTAGTTTTTTTCTGGTATTATAATTATAACATCACAGCTTTGGTTGTAATAAATATTTTCTTGTTAAAAAGAATTAATTAAATGATTGTAGTTAATGCTTAATTTAAAAATCCCATTTTAAAAAAAAAACAACAGTAACTCCACGTCACAAACTGCTTTTTTGCTACTTAATGGGATTTACTAGTTTCACAAAAATTATTGACATACTGTTTTTTTTTTTAATTTCAAATGCTTATTTTTTGCTTTTTTACTGCGAAAATGGTACAAACCTACGTTGTTAACCCCCAACATGGATACGCTTTTTCACTAAGTACGGGAGTATTGATAATGGTGTTGCATTAACATTTTACAAGTTTGAAGATTATAACAAAGAAAAAAAGGAATAAAAAAACATTTCAAATTAAAAATTATTTTTAAACGTCGAATTGAAATGCATATTTGAGTTTTTCTTTTAGTTACTAACAAGCAAACAATATAAGTTAACAAATATAAGTTTTTGTTATTTTCAAAATCATGACTGATTTATTATGCATTTTTGTGGAAATTAAATTCAGGTTGTCTTAAAAAACACATTGATTTAGTGAGGCTTTTTTATTTAATTTTCAAGTTTTTCAAGTCTTTTGAAATACATGTTTATGTAATCATTGACATTGAAAGTTGTGTTAATAAATACTTAAATATTTTATAGCGTGACAAGTTTTAAAGCGTCATATAAACAGCTAGAATCTATTTTTACAAAAATTTAATACCACTTCACAAATAAATTTAAAAATTTTGGATAAAAAAACCATAGTTACTAAACTATACACTTGTTTTGAGTAAATATAACTTACGTTATTGGACGTAAAATTGACGCAACATATCGTATTAGAATTAGCCCATTAGAAAAGATATTTGTCAATATTTATGCAAGCAAACGAGCATTGGTGCAAGCTGAAACAGCCACTATGCACCAAACAAAATGGTGCCAATAATAGTTAAAGTAATGATGATTGGTTAAATATTTTGTAATTTTGTAATGTTGTAACTTTACTAAAAGAATTTTTACAAAAAATACAAAGAATTTTTACAAATAATAGCGCTGTAATTATGCTGAGGTATTTGCCTTGTAATTTTGACAAAGGTACAAATAGGCTACAAGAGCAGCCAGTTTTGTTAGACCAAACAATTTTTTTTTTGGAATTTAGTTAATTGGTGCAATAGCGTTTTGGGTAAAAAAAAAAAGTTTTTGGCTTCCAACAACTAAATGCTACCCTTTATGTAATGCCCTATTATAATGCGATAGTAGTTTTACAAAGCTGGGTCATATTTTAAATCTAAAAAAAGTATTTAAATTAGAGAATAAAGGAAAATTTAGTTAAAATAAATGTTGTTTTTCAGACAATTTTAGCTTTTGTAACATAACATGAAAGAAAAAGTTCTATTTAACTCATTCATTTGAAATTCTTTTGTTTCAAATTGTATTTAAAAAGCAACATGCAATATACTTCCAAAATTAAAAAAAAAAATTTAATCTTTTTTGTACTCAATACACTTTGTCTAACTTTTATTTTTAGACGACCCTGATTGCTTACTGTTGGTATTACAGTAAGCAATCTGGGTCGTCTACTGGTATTATTATATTATTTTTAATTTAGAAATAATATAAATATGTTTTTGAGGTTATTAAGGTGCTTCCAGAAGTCCATACGGTCTTATCACAGAGCACCGCGGACGAGGATTTAATGCTCATGCCTCTTTTCTAACCAATGTCGCTTATTGGGTTAGAGCCGGCTTCTAACCTTGGACCGCCTTGTTTTGAAAATGCAATTACAGTAATTATAACTAACGACGCTGTAAGTCTTTTTTAATAACTTAAAAAACTCGTTTCAACAATGTTGATATAACATGGGTTGTATCGCATCAGAATAAAAATAAAAATCAAAACCTGTTTTAAACAGGGGTGTGGAGTCTTAAAAAAAAAGTAAGGACTCCGACTCCAGTTGTTGAAATTTTTTGAGTACAACTCCGACTCCGACTCTAACTCCGACTCTGACTCCAACTCAAAAGCAAAATTTTTGAAAAATTCTTTGAATTCTTTAAAAAATATTGCCCGGTAAGTTGAAATTTTTTTTTGACAAGTTTATGAAACACTCTTTGATGTTTAGTATGATTTGAATGTTTTGTACATGCACGTGCAATACCAAGAAATTTTACTCCGGTAAAATTGTCGCAACTCCGCGACTCCGACTCCGGCTCCACAGCCCTGGTTTTAAAGCGGCCTAGTGAACCAAAAAAAAAAAAATGTTTAATTAGTCAAGTTATTCGTGAAGCAATATTGGTTAGAAAGGACGCGTGACCCAGTGTCATAGTTGAATGCGCTTCCGCAGTGCTTTGTGATAAAACTGTAAGAACCTGAGGAAGCACCTTAAAAACAAGAATAATATATATATATATATATATATATATATATATATATATATATATATATATATATATATATATATATATATATATATATATATATATATATATATATATATATATATATATATATATTACTTTTAAATTAAAAATAATAAAATACTATTAGTAAATGACGAGTAAAAATAATATAATATTTACAGTAAACGAGCCATAAAAATAATATAATACTATCACAAAAAAACGACCCGTAAAGATAGTATAATACTCGTAATAAGTACCCCTTAAAAGTAATACAATGCAATCACCAGTAAGCGACCCGTAAAAGTATTACAATACTAAATAGTATCGATGGATTAGTAACACAAAAACAAAAAAATTGTTTTTGAGCTAAGTATGCAGAAATACTCACCATAGTTTTTTCTATCACAAAATTGTGATAAAAAGAATCTCCTCAACAACTACCGTTTAATAAAAATCCATAAACGTATCTCATAGTTTTAAAATTACATAAAAACGCATCAGCTGAAACACCTTTGTGTTAATGCATGTAGTGCATGCAACACAATGTTAGAAACAAAAAAAATGCATTGCGTAACATGATCGTTGTGATAACGATATTTTACCGTCATTATCATCTAATACATGTGCTCATTAAACTTAGCTTTGTCTAGATCAATAAAATACGGAGATATTACAATAATTTAAATAAATATTTTTATAACTCTTTCATTAAATTTTTGTAATTTGCAATTTTATGATGTTATTTCCTATTTTATCAGTGAAAAATAATTACTTAATTTTTTATTTTATTTTGTGACATATTTTAGTATACGTACTATAGCAATGAATAATTATATTATGAACTCTAGAATGAGAAAAATTGAAAAAACCAAAATGAGAATGACCATAATCTAAGCGATTGTGTTGATTAGGAAACATTTGAACCGTTTTTCTAAAGATTCTTTATTTGAGGGTATGAAATGTTCTAAATTTGCATTTAGAACATTTCATACCCTCAAATAAAGAATCTTTAGAGTCAGGTAACAATAATACTGCACCTATGTTTTATCATGCTGTAACATTTTTTTATTTTCATAAGTCCTAATTTATTTTCATGGTCTATGATGTTAAAATTATAGAAATAACTATCGAGAGTTAAGAATCCCTTGCTAATAACAATATTGCGTCCAAAGCAGGAAAAAATAACGATGGAAGTGAAAGTACAGAACAAGATTTATTCATTTCTGATAGTGAAATGGCCTCAACATCTGTATCTTCCACACCACATCGCAATTAGATTTCATTGATGATAACTACTATTTTGCTACTTTCGTTTGGATAAATTTTAACGTGAGTAAAACTAAAAATTGTGTACATAAAACAATGTAACTCGTGTCTCGATATATTTTTAGGTGATGCCTTGATTAGAAAAAGGTTCTGTAGAAAAGCTGATCCAAAAATCTGGAAACAAAATATGAGAATAATCAATAAACAGCAAGAAAAAGAATACATGAAACGAAAAACAATTTCGTCCAAAAAGGTAAAAAAAATCAACTGTTCATCATATTCTTATAAACGGAGCAATTCCATCAATGAACCTGCAAAGCAGAAACTATCTAATAACTATTGGGTAATAGGTGACGTAGTGAAGCAAAGAACTTTTGTCAGTTACCTTGTAGACAACGTGAAAAAGTAATCATGTCACACATCAAGAAAAAAAAAATACACGATTGTTTTATTTTTAAAAAGATTATCAAAAAGTTTAAGTATGTCAAAAAATCGTTCTGGAAACATTAAATATTACAGAAATGTTTGTTCGAAACATTATAATAAGATGAGCCAATCGAAAATTCTCATAAAGAGACCAACGTGGATGCCACCCACCAGCAATTAAGAAAAGGATTCAACTAAACAATTTATTATTGATTACATTCATTCTTTCCCAATAGTACCATCACATTATAGTCGCAAAGACTCCAATTACGAATATTTTTTAGGCAATTTGAACCTGACAAAAATGTATGAATCATATAAAGAAAAGTGTAAGGAGTACTAAAATTAGTGATACTGAAAGGCAGCTTTTTTCAGCTAAGCAAGATGTTTATTTAAAAAGAAAGAAGGAAGCAAGGAGGTTACTTCAAAAATAAGTCACCAAATAAAGAAATTCACTTGGTTGAATTTGAATTTGAGGCTGTTATATATTGTCCATCAACAAATGCTAAGACTTTATTTTATAAGCCACGGTTGACCATAAACAATTTGATAATATACGATGTAGCCACGAAATGGACCATACGATGTATTTAGACTTTAAAAGTCTAACAAAAAGGTTTAATATAAAATAGAAAAACAGATTTAGAGGTCGATTAGATCAACTGGCTTAAAATTTTGTGGTTTCCAATACCGAAAATCTGGTCCCAACTTTATTTATTTAAAGTACAACAAATCGGACCGGAAATTTCAAATTTTGCATTTCCAGCG